ACCAGTTGGTCTATTAGGATAAGACATTAGATCTTTTAAGCAATATCAATGATTCGAATCCTTACGATTGTAAATTTAATAAACTAGGTTGGGAGAGTCGTCCTTACCTATGTGGTTATATGAAAAAAAAACTTAAATCTATCTCATCTACAATGTGGTACTTATATAAAATATTTATGGATTCAATCCTTATAAAATCATTTGTCTTACGTTACCCTAACATGGACATATTTACTTTAAGGGGGCGTTTGGATGGAAGATTTTAATATTACTTGTGGGAATATTTTTTTCCTATTTGTGATTCTCATGTTTGGATGGACAATATTTTTAATAGAGGGTAATAAAATATGACCAATAGTAACTTTTTTTTTCAAATATTACCAGGAATCCTAATCCCATAGTGGGCTTAGGTATTTTTTGTTTCCCTTCAACTTGGACTAAAATGTTCTTATCCTAAAAGATTTATTTCAAAAATACCCTTACCTTTATTTCAAAAGCTATATAGTATATTATCATAAATTTATTAGCATAACTTTATTTCAAAAATATTCCCAACTGGGAATTTTATTTATTTATTTATTATCATAAATTTTTAAATATTAATTAAGATTAAAAGAATATATGATATATTTACTCTTTTAATCTACACATTTATCTTTAAAATTTTGTAAAAAAATTATATAAATTTTATTAATTTAAAATTTAATAAAAATATATAAATTGAAAATAATACAATAATATATTTTCTATGAATTTTTATATAAATATTTTCATTTGAATATTTGGAATTCAACTTGTTAAAAAATACCATAAGGACAATTTAGTAGAATATGCATTCTAGTAATCTTTTATTTCTTTAACCAAACACTGTAATCATACATTCCTGTCAAACAAACCAAACACAATAATATAACATTCACAGTAATGTGTAAGATAATGTAACATTCCGGTAATCTTATTCTCGGAGGTAATGTTACATTCCATGAACCAAACGCACCCTAAGTACCCTAATGAGGGATGGGATATGGTTTAACGACTAAATTGTCATATTTACCCTTTATATTGTTTTACAAAAATATTAACACGACATTTAAGTAATTGTTTATAATTACACACTTTATTTTTAATTAGGGATGAGATACGGTTTGAGGACTTATTCAATGATTAAGTGTTCTCTTACCCCCGATTAGTAGGGTATTCAAGAAAACCTGAAATCGTTAACTATAACTGTTAATCAGTATAATAATTATATTTAACAGGTTAATTAATTGAATAGTTAATGTTAAACTGCTCCAGTTAACCGAATCGTTAAAAATGATAGTTAAGTGTTAAAGTTATTTTTATAAATTTTGATAAACGGTTAACCCTTAATAAATTAAATTTATAATTATATTTTTAATTTATTATATTTTTACATAAATAGCTTAATATAATTTTCTATTATTTATAATTTATATATATTTTTAATAAAATTTGTATACAAATAACTTAATATATATATATATATATATATATATATATATATATAGAAACATACTTACATAAATATAATTATATGTTTATTTTTAGGTACTAAGATATTAAGATATATACATACTTACATCAGTGTAAGTATGTGTTAAGTTCTACATTTTTAATTTATATATATTTTTTAAAAATTTGTATACATAACTTAATATATATATATATATATATATATATATATAGAAACATACTTACATAAATATAATTATGTTTATTTTTAGGTACTAAGATATTAAGATATATACATACTTACATCATGTAAGTATGTGTTAAGTTCTACATTTTTTTATTTATTTCTTACACCGTGTAAGTATGTGTTAAGTGCTACAATATTTTACTTTATTCACTTACATCGTATAAGTATGTTAAGTGCTACACTTTTTTTATTTTATTTACTTACACCGTTATAAGTATGTGTTAAATGCTACATTTTTTTATTTTATTCATTTAGATTTGGTGTAGTAGTGTTAAGTATTTTTTTTTTTATTCACTTAATCGGTGTAAGTATGTGTTAAGTGTTACACTTTTTATTTTATTCACTTATACCGGTGTAAGTATGTGTTAAGTGCTATATATTTTTTTTAGTATGATTATGAAAAAAATAAACAAATAATTGTAATAAGTTAATCGTATGTTAACTTGTAATCGAACCGGTAATGATTAATCGATTCTTAATAATTAAGTTAGGATTAGAAAAATCTCATAATTGTTATAACGGTTAACCGTCCATGACAAATCGTACCGATTAGATCTAAATTCAAATCTCTCTATTTTAACTATGTTTTTTTTTTCAAATTTTATCAATAGGATAACATTTAAAAATATATATTAACAATGTTTAATCAAAGTGAAAAAACTTAGTTAGGTAATTGTCGCACTACGACTCTAACCTTTTGTCTTAGGTTCATTATCCTTTTCCTTTCTCCCTACATTTTTATCATGTCGTGACATGTGCTACTGTCCTACTATATCTATATAATAAGGACAAAATATATATTATTTTGACTTGATTGGTGTTATTCAAATATTTAAGTAACATAACTGACCAGATTGTGAATTTTATAATCAAAATAAAACTAACCATGTAGTTTAGTGACTATACATGTAGTTTACCCTACATATTTTCCACGTGGAACGAAATATTTGTGGCCACGTATAACAAACTTGTTGCTGAGTTTAGAGAATTTATTGTCATTTTCATTCAAAATTAATTATAGTAATTCAACGGTGCTTGCTGGAAAATAGTTTATATATATGTCAAACTCAAATACGAAAGATCTATTTAACCCAATTTCATTTCACATTTTTAGAAAACGCCTCACGAAAATGAAATTTGAGGTCCAAATTTTATACTGTTGGATATTATGACGGTCACTTCAAATATTATTATTATTTCTATTTTGATAATCCAACTATTTTATTTTGAATTCAGTCACTACAAAAATTTATTATTTTTATACTTACGTAATTATTGATGTATATCATTTTAAATGAGTGTAACAACGAATTTAATCCTCAATACTTATATATTTTGTTAGTTTAGTTATTATTTTTATAATTTAATAAATTTATTTTTTATATTTATAAATTATACCAATTTATGCTTTAAACATTTACACCTTATCAAGATACTATTCAATATTTGAACAAACACTGTAATCCCCTCAGACCGATGAGGGTAGCCCGATCCGATCTAGAGTGTCACATTAGGGCCACCGAAGCGACCCCGTAAAAATAGCAAAAAATTTAAAATTTTTATTAAAGCATGTAAAATCATAAAATGATTTATTAATATTCAGAGATAAAACAGATTTTCAAACTCAAATATAAAACAAAATACAATTACATATCCCCTAATCACATGTATCATACTCTGCAAGCAACGCCGGAAGAACTCCCTTACTGAAGTCGATAATTGCATTGGTATAATTCTTTTAACCTGCAATGGCGAGTGATAGAGTGAGCTTCAGAAAGCTCAGTAATACAGAACTACCAGATGATGCTATAGGACATGCAGATAAATGAAAAGCCATATAATTTCCTTATTGAATCAGACGTATACCGATGTTCAGAATAATATGGGGTTCCACTGGTAGTTTATCGAATAAAAGCCATGCAGATCTTAGGTCATAGAAAACATTCATAGTATGACACTTCAGGAGGTCGAATAAGATGTCTAGTGTGTTCCAATTAAAACCAGTGACAAGATATAAATCTTTTAAAACCATAGCGAAACCCTCTAACCAAACTCCATTATTCAGTTCCCCAGAACTGCATCCGTAGGGCTTACCCTAAGCACACAGCAAAGGGAGCCAACCTAAGGATATACCTTAGGGTCCATAGGCCTACCCAAGGGTATCCTTAGGTCCGTAAGGCCAGTTGGATCAGGGTTGTGCCTCCATACTCCAGAATCATATCCATATAAAAATCCGGTAGAAATCAGTTTTATCCATAAATCGTAATACCTGGACCGTTATCCAGTAATATGTCATAATCATAATAATGAGATAAACCGTATAACTGATTTCCAACTATACACCATAAATAGTCCCATGATTAACCCAAGGGAGTGCCTTGGGTCTGAGAGCCTACCCAAGGATCACCTAGGTCTGTAAGAAATTTCCAGCTTGATCAGAGTTGTATCTCCAGTCTACCCATATAATATCTCAATACAACAATTCCATTAGTAACCAGTATATTTCATGGTCCATAAATCAATAACCATAATTTTATTCCAGTGAAAACAAGGAAACCTGATAACACATTCCAGGTAACCCATGTAGTAATGGGAACACACTAGATGATCCAAGTATTTTTCAGAGGCATTTTGTAGTCATCAATATGGTGTGGGTGGTGTCGAAAACGGATGGTCGGATCGACGTGAATCGACTAAAAACCAACAAAAATCGAGTTAAAACCGACGATACTTCCAACTGAAATTAATGACGAACGACGACGATTCACGACGAAAGGTTTGATTGTTTTTGTTCATCGGTCGACAACGAACACGATGGTGGTTTCGGTTCGTCGATCGGAGGTTGGACGACGAGTAGATCGGAGTTGAAAGGAGAGGGAAACTGGGAATTTTCTACCGAAAAACATACGAGAATGGGTTTATAATTCTCCCAAAATAAAAATGGTTAAACTATGAGTTTAGCCACTGAATTCCTTGCACTTTATAAAATGGTCTGCCAACTTTGAAAAATTACAATTTAATCCTCAATTTCTTCCAAAATACCAATTAAAATCAATACTTTATATTTTCTTAAATTTTAGCCCCTAAATTGGGGTGTTACAAACACATAAACTTTGCATTATATCTTACTAAATTAGATAACCCCCAATTAATTAATTTTATCACAATGATAACAACGTCCAACTATAATAACAGTCCAAAGAAAACATTTCAACAATGACAATATGTGAACAAAGATTAGTAAGAAAACAATGAACATTTGGAGGGTATCAATGGAAATTATTAAAATTACTGAAATTTAAATTCTGTTAAAGAAATCTAATATAGAAAAAAAGAAGTAAATATGACTAAATAGTGGACTAACCTTTTATTTAGAATTAAAGTTCTTTTCATCAGTTGGACATTGTTAAAGTAGATGACTAAAATTTGTTCCTACATAAATATATAGCTTATAGAACTCTTTTAAGTACACTTGATTTGAGGGGTGGAACAAAGTTCTCCCGATTATGTCTCTTCTAGAGCATTTATGACTAATATATTTTTGTATGGATAGAACCAACATAACCTATGATTGGGAGGATTATATTTACTAAATTAAATTAAGATTAAGATTAAATTAATAAAATATATATTAATAAGAATAAAACATATAATTATATTAATATTTTTAATTTTCACAAATTAATATTTCAAATGTGATTTACTCGATAACATTAAAATTGTCAATTAATCTGATTGATAAAATTAAAAAATTAATGATTAGATTAAAATCCATGGGAGTGGAAACAGATGTAATTTACCCTAAAATTTATGCCATGGATAATGATGATGACTTGATGAGGTAATTGCCCCATAACATGAGCTATTCGAGAGAGTATAGTTTTAGGGTCAAACCCATATTCGTCTGCCACCACCTCAACGACATTCAACTACAGTTGTTGACCCACCACCACTGAAGTCTCATCCAACGCTTCATTTTCATTCAACTCCAATCCAAACACACAAGTAAAGATTTAATTCATATTTAGTTTTCATCCCTCCATCATACTCAAATGTAAAATTTAGTCCTTATACTTTAATTTAACATAATTTATTAATGATGAATGATTTTAATTTTATCATCTATACTTCTAACAAAGAGTACATGTCAACATGATGAATTAGAATGATTTTTTAAAGAAACAGTTATGACAATATTTTAATCTAAACATTTAATGTTGTTAAATATTTGAATTAATTAATGGCGTTACAAAATTAAAGGATTAATTATATTAAATTAAAATGAAGTGGTTAAATAATAAAATTTAATCATAATATAGGAATCAAAACAAAATTTGACCAAAGAAGTACTACAAGGAAAGAAAGAGGGACCTTTTCGTCTTTTGGATGAAATATAAGAGAGAGAGAGAGAGAGGGGAAATAAGAGAGTAACGTTCTGTTTTTGTTAAGTCCGTTTTTTCAGTTAAGAAAGCACTTGCATATAGTCAGAAGTATAATATCCGTATTATAATATTTTTAAAGGTCACATCGATGTAATATCGGCGTAACGCGATAAGAGAACCACATCATAATTATTGTGGTAAAAAATTATTACGTATTACCGCAACACACTATAAATTACACCGTAGCACCGCAATAAACTTTAAATTGTATAAAATATAAAATTAAATAGATGAATTATTTTAATTTAATTTTTAAAATTAGATTATAAATATATATCATTAATAATATCGTAATAGTTATGTTTAAAAATAATTACTTAAATTTAAATTAATTAAATTATTTATTAACATTATTTTAAAATTAAATTAATTTAAATTTAAATTAAATTTTTCTCATATCTTAAATTGTCGTGATTAATTTTAAATTAAATTTTTATATTAACATTAAGTATCATAATTATATGTTTATTTATTATTATATAAATTTTATATAAGATAAGAATTCACTTTATAATACGATAATAGTATATGTATTTTATCTAATCTATTTATTAAAAAATTTTATCATACAACATGTTTCCTACTAATGATGCATCTTATGATGCACATAATGTGATGTCTTCTTCACATAGAATAGAAAGGAATCAAAACCATGACAACGACAAAGATAAAAATGTTTTAAACCTGTCACGTCATTTATTTTAGTGGTGAACTGTAAGATATAGATTTTTTATATTTGTAGTTATGTATTTTTTTTTCTTTCTACGCTATGTAAAATGAACAATTTATGTTACAATTTAAAATTTGATATAATTTTTGTGATATTGTTTATATGTTATTCATTAACATTATAATTGTTATTACCCATTATCTAGTATAATAACACTTATATGGTTTATATTTGATTTTAATAAATTTTTATTTATGAAATTAAATTTTTATTTTTAAAATAAAATATTAAAAGAGTATATTAATATTAATATATTAAAAGATAACCGTAAAATATATAAACATAATATTTTAGACGTATCGTAATTTAAAAAAAAAAAATCACGTCCACACGATATTGGCAACACATTACGTATAGTTCGCAGCACCCTCAACCATAATTTGATATTATGCTTATAGTAAGAACACGAAGGACGAAGCAAGCATGAGTGTGGTGTCGGACCAAGAGATAGCAAGAGAGGTGGAGGCCCTTCTCCGGCAGTCGGACCCCACCGGCGCCACCACCTTGAACGGCGTCGTTCAGCAGCTGGAGGCCAAGCTTGGGCTCGACCTCTCCCATAAAGCTGGCTTCATCAGGGACCATATCAGCTCCCTCCTCAGCTCACACCAAACTCTTAACAACTTCCAGGGATCATTTTACCCTCCAACACTACCCTCGCCAACAATTTCCTCCCCATTTTGCCCTCCAAAATCACTCTCATTTCCCTTCCCATGACCTCAGCTTCCGCCAACACCCTCAGTCATACTCGCATTCTCCAGTTACGGCTCAACCACCGCCGCAGGTTCAGCCGCAGCCGGTTGTCGAGAAAGTCAAGTCTTCTCTGAAAATGCCGCCACTGTTGCCATCCCAGAAGTGGCTAAAGAAAGGTTTGTCCCTTTCTTCACTACTTTTGCAAGCATTTTGAGGATACGTGTGTAAGAAATGAGATCCATTTGAGGGCTGGTTAGGCCCTTTTTGAACGTTTGGTGCAACAGAAGTTAGGGGTTTCATGCCTGAGTGTTTAGACTTTTAAAGTTAGGATTTTATTGTAATTTTCCCTTGTAGAGAAGTAGAGATTTAGGGTTCATTTTAACGTTTCACAAAATACCATTTCTGGTTTGGTTGAAAATGTGAATGGCATCTATTTTCTTTAACAAGTGATAAGTTAATCTGCAAGCATGCATTGCCTATGCGACTATGCAAGTATATTCGTGTTCTTATTCGCTTTATTGTCAGCTTTACTAATATTTTATGCAACGTGAATTCATGATTGGAATCCGAGTGTTGGTCCTCGATATTTTATCAGCACAAATCACAGTTATCAGTTTCAACAATGATTCAAGTGTTTGTCTGTGTTATAATGTTATTGCAGTGCTCCAGCTGGAACCAAAAGAAGAGGCGGACCAGGTGGTCTGAACAAAGTTTGTAGGGTTTCGCCAGCGCTTCAAGTGGTTGTTGGTGAGCCAGCTTTGCCTAGGACTGAGGTTGGTTTCCCTGATTACCCGTGATTGCAGTTTGTTCCCCTCTCCCCTCTAAAGAAACTTTTCATGCATGGATTTTGCTGCTTAAAAATCTGTTCTCTTCTTGATTTAGATTGTGAAGCAGCTGTGGGAATATATAAGGAAGAACAGCCTCCAAGATCCAAGCAACAAGAGAAAAATAATCTGTGATGATGCATTGCGCTTGGTGTTTGAGACAGACTGCACCTACATGTTCAAGATGAATAAGCTACTAGCAAAACATATTACCGCATTTGAGCCTTCAAGTACGTGTTTGATGAATTATGTTGCCTTATATGTTTGTTGACGAGTTGGATCTGATGTTTTTATCATTTCAATTATAATCTTGCTAATCATTTCAGAGGAGTCGAGCCAAACTAAACAAGTGCAAGTCGATTCCACTAAAACCGAAAGTGTTGAACCAAGTGCCAGCCCTTTCATAATATCTGAAGCTCTTTCCAAGTTTTTGGATGCTGGAGGACGAGAGATGCTAGCAACCGAGGCAGAAAGACGTGTATGGGAGTACATAAAGGTCAATCATTTGGAGGTGAGGGTTGGCAACTTAAAATGCTGTCATGTTCTCAGGTTTTTCTGCTGTTAATGTGATCTGCTTTTCTTCTATGGTTTCAGGATCCTGTAAATCCAATGGTGGTACTCTGCAATGATAAGCTTTGCGAGCTTCTTGGATGCGAAAGCATATCTGTGATGGGGATACACGATTCGTTTCTACATCATCATCTATTTAAGCATTCCTGAGATCCGGTCGCGTCGAAAGGTTAGCACAAACGCTTGAATAAGTTTGTTCTTATACCTGCAAAATTTGCATGAATTTATCTGTCAATAGGTTTCTAAGTGAGGCGCTGTTGCCGCTAATCGTTCTATCTCGCTATTTGCAGGGAGCATGGGAGCTTGGTCATCTCTGTTATCTATGATGGTGGAACAAATAGTTAAGACCTTTTATCCATTATTTATTTATTTATTTATTGTTTGTGCATTGAATTGCTTAGAAGCCTTACACTAGTTGCTTGTTTATGGTAAAGAATGAAAATGTAGTAGCATAGGTCCATGGCATTGGCAATGATATATTTTGTAGTTATGCTGCCAGCCATTAGCTTGGATGTAGGTGTACTTGTTCATGTTGTTCAAAAACAGACCCATCTTTCCGATGCTAACTACAAAATAAACCGAAGAAGAAACGTTTGCATCTAGCTATATAGATAGGAGGGTTATATTGTCGATAGCTGTTTCTTAAACAGAGTAATCGAACGAGAAGAAAAAGAGGCTATCTAATACATTGAGAAAAGCAGAATGGTAGCTATAAACAACAGAGAAAGAACTGCACTTATGACCTTCTTTTTCCAGGCTTTGGATGACACCCCCGAGCATATATTGTCCATTATGTTCGTCAAGTATCCGATTATTTTCTGCACACAGATGCATTAGAAGATAGGTTGATTCCATTAGTTTAAATGTCGAAGAAAACTTGTAGATCACTTACTAGCCTGAATGGTTCCAGATGAAGGAGTGGTTCCATGAACATCTCGACATTCCTGGTCGTTAATCGCAGGATATTATTTTCATAAATACATATGAAGAATGAAAAATCTCTTGTTGCATGTGGTGATGCTTTCATTACCTTATCATCACTTTTCCATGGTAGACATGGCAAGTATAGAAGCTGAAACCTTTTCCCAGTGGCACATTAGCATTATTCCACTCTGTAACATATAATATCAGAGATCTTTCTTAAGGGACATTGAACTTCTTATGACTCGACCTAGCATGTGCATTGGTACCTGGAGTCCAAAGTTAAGACCATAATTTATTGAAATTTAATGTTGTGAAGGAAGGGCAAACCTAATCTCCAATGGATGCCAACAACCATCCCTTCATTCAGTGTTGGTTGCACCACAAATTCAATGTGATTTCCCATATACTTTATCAAAGAAGTGAAGAATTCAATCACTTGCTGCCAACATGAAAGAACCAATCAATCATAAACATATTCCTGACCATCCATTATCAAAATGAATTCAATGACTGGGAACCAAATGCTTGCTTGTTACCTTTTTCCCTTGTAAAGGTCGGAAACACGAGAAGAAATTGCAGATGCATTGGCATTCGTCATCGATGATATCGGATAGCTCGTGTACGTTTCGGTTCTTGATCGCCGAGTAAAGCTTGAGAACCGTTTCCAAGGCTCCTTGCGAATCCTCCTCTCCCGAACCGGAACCCTTGGCAACCGGTGGCACTAGAGTCGATAGGCCTCGTTGCTTCCGTGAAGGGTAAGTTACCGGAACCAAAGACTGCTTCAAATATGATGAATGAAAATTGCTGTAAATACAAGTTATTCCACCATGAATTTTATGGAGGGAAGGTCTATGCTGAAATGGTTTTGAGTTAATTCTTGTGCGTTGGTATAGGGCTAGAGGGGCAGCAAATGTGGCTGAACTCATCCTCAAGGTTTGATCAATGGATGCTAAATTAAAGCTCAAACATGAAAACGAAATGGAGTTTGTTTTTATGATATATATATATCTAAAAGAGGAAAGAAAAAAAGTTGTATGATACAGAAAAGAAAAGAATGAGACTAACAGCAATTGCAAGTTAAGGATCTTCCTTGCATGGAAATTCCTGGGACTCATTACTGTTGCTATTGCACATCATTTAGAAAGTCGTGAAATTGAACGTTTTCAAGTACAATTGATTTCGATTTAATTAGTTATTACATTAAAAAAATGAAAATGAAAACCGAACCGAATAGAATGCTAACTATTCCGATCAATTTATTGGTTTCTAAATTTTTAAATGAATTTTATTAAGTTCTTATGTATAAATTTTAAGGTATATGATTTATTTTTTTAACTTTTATAAATTAGAGTGATTAAATTCAAAAGGCTTTATTCATTATTTCCTCCTAAAGAATACACTTTTCTCATTTTCACCGTATATTATTTTTTCAATTTGCCCACTAGACTATCATTTTGTTGCATTTCGCTCCAAAAATTATCAGCATTTTTTTATTTTAGGTTAAATTGAGATGAAAATGATAATTTAGGGGTAAATTAAAAAAGAAAATAATATATGGTGTAAATTGAAGGAAGTGTATAATTTGAGTGAAAACTTTGAATTAAGCCAATTCAAAACTAGATCTTTATTTAACAACTTCAACTAGCTTTTTGCCTATAATAAATAGAAGTACAGCACCATCGAGGGTAAGGAGACACAGCAATACGACACTGGTAACAAAACCAAAATCATTGTTTTAGACCAAAGATCAAAGTAGGACTCAACGATGGCGGAAGATCTGGTTCTCGACACGGCGATCAGAGATTGGGTACTGATACCTCTTTCAGTGGTAATGGTCCTCATCGGCATCCTCCGCTACTTCGTCGCCAAGCTCATGCGCTCTTTTCAAGTCCCCGATCATAAGATCGTCAAAGAAGGGCACGTCTCTCAGAACAACTCTATTTTTCATTTTTTTATTTTTATTTCGACAGGATTAATAATAAGTACCGGATTCACTTATTCTCGAGTTTCTATTTTGCAGACAAGTAATTGTTAGGGCTCGGAATTTACGAGCTGCTGCAAATTTCATCCCTCCGAAGTCTTTTCGCCCCCGTAGGGTTTATTTCAGCAATGAGGTTTGTTTTTCATCTTCCTTTAGAATTTCTGTTATCAAAATTTATTCTATAATTGTTTATTTTCTAAATTTGTGCTTATTTCTTCCTTTTTAAAGCTTTGTTTAACTGTTAGCTGATTATGTGATTAAGTATCAGATATTGTAATCAGGCTTCGATGAGTTTAGTTTCTTTTTAGAAGCAAATTGCAATTACTCTAGAAACTGTGAATTTCTGCTAATTTTAAGCTTAATTGAGTGTTAAGAGTCTGGTTATACATATATTTGTCTCAGAAAAGGAGAAAATTGAAGTATCGCATGTTGTAATCAGGCTTATGTCAGTTTAGTTTTTGTTTAGGAAGAAAATTACTATTAATCAAGAAGTTGCGAAATGGAGCTAATATTAAGGTTAAATTGAAATAGTGCATTTATGTAAATGTTTGTCTTAGAAAGAGAGAAGATTAAAGTATCACAAGTTGCAATCAAGCTTTGGTCAGTTTAGATTCTGTTTAGGAAGAAAACTGCAATTGATCAAGAAGGTGTGAATTTGAGCTAATATTAAGCTTAAGAGAGTGTCTAAAGTTGGGTTAAATTGATTAAAATGATCCATTTATGTATATATTTGTCACAGAAAAGAAGAAATTTAATGGAATTTATATTGCACTTTGTAGGAAAATGGACTACTGTTTGTCCCCAAGGGCCAGGCTCAAAATGCTCAAGCGCAAATGTTCTCTGACCCTAACATGGCTATGGACATGATGAAGAAAAACCTCTCTATGATTATACCTCAGGTATTTTATGGTTCTTAGAACTTTAGTGTTCATATGCTTTGGTTTGGTTGGTCATGTCCTGGAATTGACTGCTTTGTGTAAACTGTTGTTACTGCCAGACTCTCACTTTCGCCTGGGTCAACTTTTTCTTCTCTGGATTTGTTGCAGGTCTGATTCTTTATTACTGTTTTACTTCCAAGATTTCTGAGTATTTTTCCTTTTAATTCTACAATCAAGATTGAATTTACATTTGTATTTATGAAATTGAATATCATGCATCTGAGGTTCTGAATTTGCAAAAATATACCCTTTTCTATTAGATTGGATCTGTTTTATTTTTCACTCTTTATCATGGACGCAATCTTTTGTTTTATTGGAATCAAAATTCTCTTATCTGATCTTGTTACTGTTATTTACTGATGTTATTTCACTATCAGTAAACTGTAATGTGATTCCTCTTCTATTTTTCTGTGTTCATATCTTGCAGCCAAAATACCCTTCCCATTAACTCAGAGGTTCAGATCGATGTTGCAGAATGGAATTGACCTTAGCACAGTTGATGTTAGCTATGTCAGTAGCCGCTCATGGTATTGACTTTTTCTCTCTGAGCTCTTCTATTTCCTGGAGACTTTATTGGCTTACTACTACCATTTATTCACAAATTCTTTCACTTCAAGGTACTTCCTCAATTTGTTTGGTTTGAGGGGTTTATTTAGTCTGATCCTGGGAGAAGAAAATGGTTAGTATTGGATCACGAACTTCCTGTCATGTACTTTTATTTTAGATTTTGTTCTGCACTTTCTCTGGTTGTTGTATTCAGTATCTATCTGTAGAGTTTCATCTGTAAATTATGATTTCTTTTTGGCAGCAATGGATGATACACAGCGAATGATGCAGATGAGTGGGTTTGGCTTTGATCCATCAAAGGTATTAAATCAATTTGATCTCCATCGAGTGTTGCAGGCTGAAGAAGTCTTGCAGGCTTAATTTAGTTCAACATGGTCTTATATTCCTCTACCTTTTCTTTGCCTCTTTAACATAGATCATTAAGTAGCTTGGCAATTAGAAAATTTTTAGAATGGGAAAATGGATATTCAATTCCCACAGCAATAGACCAATACTGCCCCTGCAGAACCACTATTGCTATTGTGCTGCCACAATCTTTTTGTTCTTGTAATGTCCATGCAACTTGGGATGCCAGACTCATATATCTTCATCATATTCGCATCGATGTCTGTTCTTTCTTTGCAAATTTGTATCATTTTCTTTTTGAGGCATTTTATCACTAAGGGCTTAGTTTTTCTTCATAACTTAGAAACCTCCCGTGCTTTTGGCTTCATGATATTTACCTGTTGAAAATCGTTGGGGTAGGATTTCGGCTGATGCTTTTCCTCTCCCTCAACTTTTCGTGTTCCCCTTCCCTTTTTTGCTTTGCTATCACGTCAAAATCAATTAAAAAATGAAGAATTACGTGGAACTTTAGTTTGATGAAAGATAAACTCAACTATTATTTTCGGAAGGCATCTTGAGAAGAGTTTCCAGTGAAACAAACTTTTCTTGTTTCTCAGCTTCTAGAAGCGAAGATTCATCTATGAATTGGGAATTTCCATTTCTTAACATAGATTTCCCCCTAATCCTTTGATTTTCTTCATTCTTGGCAGAGCCTGGCTTCCGAGAAAGATGGCCTTGACATAGTCCAACATGAATGGGCACTCCCTAAATTCGAGCATCGAGCTGAAGCAGTGTTGAAAAAGCTCGTCAGATGAACATTAGGAGTGGAATCAGCAGCTCTCCAAAGGGGTTGGTTTGATAGAAGTATTCATCATACGAGCTCGCCAAGTGTAAAAGAGGAAACACATTTAGAAACAAGTGTAGGCTTTAGTTAATGTTCCAGTTCTACGAGAAGCAAGAAGAAACGTGTCACCTTCCTAATTTTTTGCTCTTAGTAATTTTATGTTGGATCTTGGGCCGGCCTGCCGGCTATCCCGATCGGTTCTAATTTCTTTGCCTCATCACAAGGTTTTAAAATTGAATAACTCTTATTTACATACATTCTGATTGTTACCTTCTGCTAGGTGGAATTCCGAGTCTATTTTACCTTAACGAATGTAAAATAAAGCAATGTAACTTGTGCTTTACATAAAAGAGTCCAATTTCAGTCCCATTAACTCCGAGCCTGGATTCACACACAGTATTGGGCTAGACATTTTCATGTCTTGGGGTTGGGTTGGTTGAGGATAATAATTTAGGTGGTTGATTTGATAAAAAGAATAGTTTAAATTCCAAGACAAAAAAGATAATAATGCAAGGGTTTCTCAAATATAAACAATCTGGACATCGAGGGTTAAAGAAAGGAGACATCAATTTCACTCCCAAATCGTGTCTGCGTGCTGAATTACAAGGAAGTGGGCGGGCAGACTTGGATGTATCACCATCACTCACGTCTTCATCCCCTTGCCATAGGAAGTTTCATCGGCTCCTTGTATTTCACAGCAGAGCCTGTACCGGCTACGAAATTGGATGCTTCCCCCAAGGTTTTTGGAAGTTTACCATTGGTTCAAATTTGTTCAGAGTATTGATATCATTTGCAAACACATGTAATTGATTTAAAATATAACGATAGTGTTATTATAATACTAAACGTACAAAGAGTTCTAAAATGTGCGAATCCATTATGTATGTATGTATGTATGTGTATAATATTAAATACTTGTTTTTTCTCTCTGGCTTATTGAAAACTCACAGCGCAGCGCAGGCATCTTGCACATCTCTCAAAATGTTTTATCATTAATGATATACTCTTTTGACATTTTTCAACTATTTTACATTATTATAATTCATCAATCATTGCATGCCCTAAATTGTGGTTTAAGATGATTATGAGTCGGTTCAAATTTAATTTTTGATAGATTTAAAACTCGGATATTCTATCTTTATTTTCATCTAATTTATCATTTTCTTTTAAAATTTGAAATTCAATCTAAAATTTATAATAAAAATTAATATTTAATTTTATCTAATTCAACGTAAATATAAGAAAAATACTATACCTCAAATCAAATAAGATTCTAATAAAATGGCAATCCCTAGTATGATTACCCTGAAGTAACATCTAGAATGCAAGATTATCTTTGGAAATAACATTACTGAAATGTAACATTACATGATACATGACTGGGAATGTTACATTACTGTGTTTGGTTTGTTTGGTAAGAATGTAAGATTACAGTATTTGGTTGAAGGAATAAGATATTACTGGAATATATATTTTACAAAATTATCATTGTTCTATATGTTTTAACAAGTGGAATTCTAAATATTTAAATAAAAATATTTATATAAAAAAACATCGAAAATATATCACTTTATTATTCTAAATTTATATACTTTATAATAAAATTTATATATATATATTTTATAAAATTTAAAAGATAAATGGGTAGAATAAAAGAGTAAATATATCATGTATTATTTTAATTATAAATAATATTAATTTTTACATTATTTATCTAAAAATATATTAAAATTTTACATCAACATTTAACTAAATAAGCATATGAAAATTTTAATAGATGAACCATTTTACTCCTACCAAAATGTAGGATGATGATCACTTATGGTTTTTTGTTCTTTCTTCCCGGGTTCACGCCAAGATGTGGAAGTCATGGTAACAGGAGATCGGTGTGCATTCTATAGTTGCAGGTTTCTAGGGTGGCATGTACTTATCTACTCATCGATAAATCGAATCCGAATATCCAATATTTTTATTTGATTCCAAATAACATAGCATTTCAATGGTTCATGACTAACATAACATTTGCATGACCAACTAGATTATAAATTATTGAATCGAAGATGATTACTATTGCGGAAGGCGGCTATCGGATAGAGCAAAATCGCAACTGATAATTTGAGAAAATAAAAATGAAGATAAAAGAGACACAAAATTTACGTGGAAAACCCCTAAAAAATTTAGAGTAAAAACCACGGGCAACGGTAGAAGAATTTCACTATGAGAAAATAGGAATTACAACCTCTCTCGATCTACCAAGGAGAAAACAATGATAATTCTCTCTTGATAAAAAGGAGAAAACAACTCTCAAGAAACTCTCTAAATTCTCTCTAGTATTGGAAGAAAGCTAGAATGCTTTGGGATGGTTTTGAAGCTAAATGGGCTAGGGTATTTATAGCTAAATCTTAAGGACTTAATCTTGTAAATACCCTAAAGTTTAGTGATTAAATTTTTTAATTATACCTTACTAAAATCAACCAAAGTTGGCTGCCCACTTAGACTAAATTAGCAGCCGGCTGCTGCCACAATTATTGACAATCTCCCACTTGAAGATTTGATTAGAACAATAATATCTTCACACCATTCTTTCTACCTTGTACCATCATGTTGCTTACGTCTCTGACAGACCACAAGAGGATCGACACCAGGTAAATTTATCAGCGTTGATCACCTTCGTCATGAAATCTGCTATGTTGTCTTTGGTATGGATGTTCTGCATATCTATCGTTCCTTCTTCCACCTTTTCACGAATGAAATGGTACTGAACTCGTATGTGCTTTGTTCTTGAATGAAATGATGAATTCCTTGCTAGATGCAAGGTGCTTTGACTGTCACAAAACAGAGAAACATGCTCTTGATTGTGCCCAAGCTCCTCCAATAGTATCTTCAACCAAATTACTTCTTTACTGGCTTGTGTAGCTGCTACATATTCTACCTCTGTTGTGGATGTAGCCACAATTGACTGTAATTTTGAAACCCAACTTACAGCTCCACCAACAACTTTGAACACATATCCTGTAGTAGATTTGCTTTTATCCAAATCCCCTGCATAGTCAGAATCTACATACCCATTGATTAGTAAGTTTGATCCTCCATAACATAATGTAACATTTGAGGTCCCTTTGATGTATCTCAGGATCCTCTTTACTATATTCCAATGCTCTTTGCCTGGATTCGCCATGTATCGACTAACCACTCCCACTGCTTGTGAAATGTCTGGTCTTGTGCATATCATAGCGAACATTAAACTTCCCACTGCTGATGCATACGGTACTCGAGACATCTCCATCCTCTCTTCTTCACCGCTAGGACTCATACTGGAGGATAATTTGAAGTTAATAGGAAGAGGGGTAGAAATTGGCTTACAATCTTGCATGCTAAATCGTGACAAGATTTTCTTCAAGTAATTCTTTTGTGAAAGCCAAATCTTCCTATTACTTCTGTCTCGGTGAATTTGCATCCCTATAATCTTGTTTGTCGATCCCAATTCCTTCATTTCAAATTCCCTAGCCAGTTGTGCCTTCAATTCTTCAATATGATCTTTGTTGGGTCCTGCAACCAACATGTCATCCACATACAACAGCAATATAACAAAATCGTTATCACCAGACCTCTTGAAATAAGCACAAGGGTCTGCATTAAGTCTGTTGTATCCAAGGCACATAATGAAGGAATCAAATCTCTTATACCAACACCTCGGTACCTGCTTTAGACCGTACAAAGATTTGTTCAACCTGCAAACCAAGTTCTTCTTTTTGTCTTCTTCAAAACCTTCAAGTTGGAGCATATAAATCTCTTCTTCAAGATTTCCATGAAGAAAAGCTGTTTTAACATCTAGTTGCTCTAGATGTAAGTTCAATGTAGCACACATTGCCAAAACTACAAGAACTGTTGTTAGTCGAACCACAGGAGAAAATATTTCATTGAAATCAATACCTTCCTTTTGAGCATATCCTTTGACCACCAGTCTTGCACGATAACTCTCAACTTGATCATCACCATTTCGCTTGATTTTGAAGACCCATTTGTTACCAATTGGCTTCCTTCCTTGTGGTAGTGGCACAAGGTCCCATGTATTATTTTTATGAAGGGCTTCAATTTCTTCTTGCATCGTCATCATCCACAGTGAAGCATCTGAGTTGTTTATTGCCTCCTGGTATGTTGATGGCTCACCATTCTCTGTTAAAAGGCAGTATGCAATATTACCTTCTATAACATAATCTGAGTGCCAATTGGGTCGTCTTCTCACACAATCTGATTGACGAGTTGTTAGAACTTTAGAACTCTCTGGTTCTTGTTCATCATGTGTTGGTTCTGCTTCATAAGAATCTCCTTGTTCATCCTCCTTTTCCACATGTATCTGTGTAGTCTCTGGCTTTTCAACGCTATCATCGTCTTCTTTTCTTTGTAGTTTATCTTCTACAAAGATAACATCCCTGCTAATGATCACTTTACGGGCAGTGGGATCCTACAAGCGATACCCCTTTACACCATCAGCATACCCCAAGAATTTGCATTTCTTGGATTTTGGATCCAACTTTGAGATTTCTTGGGAGTTTTACATCACGTACACAATACTTCCAAATACATGGAGGCTTGAATAATCAGCTGGTTTACCAGTCCACATCTCCATTGGTGTCTTCAGCTCTATTGCAGTTGATGGAGATCGATTCACCAAATAACAGGCGGTATTGACTGCTTCTGCCCAGAATGATTTTTCTAGATCTGCATCCCTCAACATTTCTCTTGTTCTTTCTAACAAGGTTATGTTCATCCGCTTTGCCACTCCATTTTGTTGAGGAGTGTTCGTCACTGTGAACTGTCTTTTGATGCCTTCTTTCCTGCAAAAGTCATCAAATTCTTCGCTTGTGTATTCTCCTCCATTATCTGTTCTGAAACACTTGATCTTATTTCCATAATCAAGTTCCACCCGCGCTTTGAAGTTTTTGAAAGTGGAAAACACATCTGACTTCTTCTTAATAGGGTACACCCAACATCTCCTGGAGTAGTCATCAATAAATAAGACAAAGTATTTTGCTCCGCCTAGGGATATAACTGGTGCTTGCCATACGTCAGAGTGAACCAATTCTAGAACACTTTTGCCTCTAGAATTTGATGTGTTGAATTTCAACCGGTGCTGCTTACTTGTTATGCAATGCTCACACAAAGGAAGTGATACCTTTGTTAAGCCTGGAAGTAGCTTTTGCTCCACAAGGACTTTCATTCCTTGTTCTGACATGTGTCCAAGTTTCTGATTCCATAGCATTGTCGAATCTGAACTACATGAGGCAACAGAGGCTTCTGCTTCTACCAAAGTCTCTCCCTTCAGCATGTACAAGTTTGCAGCTATCTTTTCGCCTTTCAGCACCACAAGCGCTCCACGGAACACCTTCATGATTCCTTTCCGTGTTTCAATCTTGCTTGCATTATTATCCAACAATCCGTAGGATAATAAATTTTTCTTAAGGCCTTTCACTTGCTGCACATCTCGAACAACTTTAATTGTTCCATCATATATCTTCAATTTGATGGTTCCCACGCCAATGATTTCTAAGGCATAATCATTGCAACTATACACAGATCTTCCTGAGACTGGTTCATAATGATGGAACCATTCTCTTCTTGAGGTCATGTGATATGTTGCTCCCGAATCAATGAGCCATATATCTGCATATCTCTTTCTACCTTCCACGGTGGTGGACGCTTCACAACATAGAGCATCTCCATCATCTGAAGTGTTTGCGGTATTTCCTTGTGGATTGGAGTTTTTATTTAGACTCCACAATCCTCTTCAAGTGACCATTCTTTCCACATGGTAGCACTTTAAATTCTTGCTCCTCGACTTCGATCTACCATGTTTATGACTGCTGCTTTGGCCACGTTCTGTTGATCTCCCTCTCTCGTTGTCAACGCTTCTGTGTTGCAGATTTATTGTCTGTCTTCCTTGTTCTTGCGCCGATTTTTCTTGTAGGACAGCAAACGTCATCGAAGACTAGGGGTGACATTACTGTTTTTCAAGTTGATGATGAGTTGATCATACGAATCGGTAGACTTGAAGTAGAAGTTCAGCACGTTCTTGTTCTCCTATTTTACAGCTTAAGGATGTAAGCTGAGAAAATAAGGTGTTCAGTGTATTTAAGTGCTCCGTCACTAAAGTAGATTATGACATACGGAGAGTGTACAATTTCCTCTTAAGGAAAATTTTATCATGCAACGATGTGGCCTCGTACAATTTGGTGAGATAATCCCATATCTCCTTAGTTGTCTTCTTCTCCTCGATGCTTGACAATACTTCATCTGTTAATGCTAGATGAAAGTTTGGCATAGCATTTCCGTCCATCTCATTCCATTTGTTGTCATATGCGAACTCCACCGGCCTTTCATTTATAGCCGCTAGACACCCGTCTTTCCTCAGGATGACCTTCATCTTCAATTTCCATAGTGAGAAATTTCTCCCATTAAATTTTTCAATATCAAATTTCGTTGCCATAGCTTCTATTACGGATAGCTCCCACTATTTCACTATCGTGAATAGTTCTCTGGAACCTTCAAAGAATGGGTAATATCTTATTACTTTCTTATGTTGGAGGATCCACCTTTTGGTGGCAACCACAAAGACAATAAGCAGATATTACACACTCTAATCTAGCTCGGATACCAATTGTTGCGGAAGGCGGCTATCGGATAGAGCAAAATCGCAACTGATAATTTGAGAAAATAAAAATGAAGATAAAAGAGACACAAAATTTACGTGGAAAACCCCTAAAAAATTTAGGGTAAAAACCACGGGCAACGGTAGAAGAATTTCACTATGAGAAAATAGGAATTACAACCTCTCTCGATCTACCAAGGAGAAACAATGATAATTCTCTCTGATAAAAAGGAGAAAATAACTCTCAAGAAACTCTCTAAATTCTCTCTAATATTGGAAGAAAGCTAGAATGCTTTGGGATGGTTTTGAAGCTAAATGGGCTAGGGTATTTATAGCTAAATCTTAAGGACTTAATCTTGTAAATATCCTAAAGTTTAGTTATTAAATTTTGTAATTATACCTTACTAAAATCAACCAAAGTTGGCTGCCCACTTAGACTAAATTAGCAGCCGGTTGCTGCCACAATTATTAACAATTACATGAACCAACTGAAAACCAAAATGATTTAACATTATCAATCAAAAGCCTTAGGGTTTAGACACTTGATTTAGTCGAGTAAAGCAAAGTCAAGAGAGATCCAACTGTTCAATCACACCCTTAATTTTCCCAATCTGCACCCAGCCACCGACTCTTTTTTCAGCATATGTTATCTTTCATGAAATTTTAGTAGCGATTTTTTTTACAGCATAAGTTTAAGTCAACAGTTAATGTGTTGGCACTCAATACACAATAATCAAGTTCCTAAGTAGGGAATGTGTTGAGTTAATCGATCGATGAAATCGGCCAAGAGGGGGGTGAATTGGCAATAAAAATTTTGGTGGAAGCTTTTGCAAAAATTGAAAGTAATTGCACAGCGATTTACAGTGGTTCGACTTTATCAACCAAAGTCTACGTCCACTACCTTAGCTATCCACACTAAGGATTTTCCAACAAATTCACTAATTTGTTCTTTCTTTTGAGGCCAAAGAGATAACTTTACAACTCCCTCAAGAATTATACCCCAATTCTTGAGAACACTATTTCTCAAAGAGAAGATTACAAATTTCGCAAACTTACAAGAAAACCTCACAAGGTAAGATGTTTGCATAATTCTAGAACAAATAAAGAACACTCGAGAATAAATATAATTAAGCACAATAAGTGTTCTTGAAAGAAAAATGAATATTGAATGAAAAATAGGCTTGAAATGCTCAAACTTGAGGTTTGATGCTTTCTCTTTGATTTTCTCTTAATTCTAGTTGCTTGATGTTTCTTATTATTGATCAATGGCTTCTAAGCTTGCTTAAATACACCTTGAATCACTTCTGAACGTTGGGGATCATTAATGAAGTTATTGGAGCCGTTTAAGTGTGAAAACAATTAATATTTATCCTTGGAGCGTAGGGGAATCGGTACCCCCTCATGAGGAATCGGTTCCCTAAGTGTAAAATTCAAATATTCGACTGTTGAACAGTGGGTGGAATCGATACCCCCTGGGGGGAAACGGTTCCCTCCGAGCACATTGTTATTTCTCGGAGCAAAACCATTCAGGGGGGAATCGGTACCCCCTTGGGGGGAATCAGTTCCCTCTGGACAAACTGTAATTTTTGGCTTTGAAACTGTTCGAAATACTTTGTAAAATTGTTTTGAAATTATTTTAAGATTAAAACTTAATTTTACACTTTAGTAAGGATTTAAAATGAACTTTGAAATACTTTGAGTAATATTTTGATATTCGATTTAATATATCGAATTTGCTTAGAAAAATCATTTCCAAAATTAAAATTCTTTTAATTTAATTTGTTATATTGAAACATCAAAATGTTTTCAACAGAATGTGACTTGGGCCTTGGCCACCACACATTGCAATACTCCTGTAGTCAAAACAAGCAGCTTCTCTGGTCTGGACTGGAACCAAGTTTTGTAATATTAAATACAAAAATAGTTCGATTCAGTCCGACAAAATGAAAAGTATTTACTTTGAAGTTCCATGGAAGCTTATTGAGCACAACTTGACGATGTGGTTGAAGAGTGGTAAGATTGGTAGCCATTTGAACAAGACAATATAGTTCCCCGTTAACCATCTCATTATCTTCCTCACCTGCTCAACCAAAAAAATGGTGAATGGCGGTTAATAAGGCTCAACTTTATTCTTCAAAAGCCATCCACACTGTGTTGTTCACTCAAGATGGAGCAAAACAAAAGTTAATGTCTAATCTATAATTTTAGATTATTAGTTAGGGCATGTACCAGCATGATGCATTCTTCTGTACTATGAGGTTGTCTAAAATTTGGGTAGTAGAAATGCCATCATGCATCTGATATGAATGTATGCGAACCGATTAAACCCATATAACAGTTCAGTCAATGGATACTACCAGATTGAACTTAAGTTACCGATAGCTACTTGGTTCATAACCACAAAGAAAATAAGATATGTTCATAGCCTAAACAACCAATATGATAAGACCAATTTATAATAACCTATGGAGATAAACACTAAACAATTTCACAAAATGAGAATTACATAAACTAAATGCTAGAGACAAAATCTAATTTCAAAAGATAACTAATTAAAAGGTAAGGACCCCAACAGCCTATAGCTTCATCACTCTTACCATCTGCATGTACCCACCGTGTTCCCTACTCTCATGCCCTAAAAACCATAAACATCCTACTTGCTCGTAACTTTAGATTATAAATTATTGATAATCTTAAATGTTGGTCTGATATTTCCTTTTTTTGCTGACTAACTGTAGTTTCCCTTTTCCCTCTAAATCTCTCATCTCTGTATTTCCTATCATTCTTCAACATTACTCCAAACAGTATAGAACTCAAAATGAAGCAAAACAAGCACATAGCGTAGCTGGAAAACTATTTTGGATGAAAGTCAATCCCCAAGACTGATGTGGCAGTTCAGAAAGGCCAAGTGTATGGAATGTGCAACAACATTCTCAAGAAGTTCAAAAAGATAACCAAGTAAATTTTAGTTTGATAAGTTCAATAAGATTAAATTCAAGTAGATGTAAATCATAGGCTGCTAGCAAAGAAGGAAAAAAGGGTACATCTAATAAACTCAAAGAGAAAGGACATGGATGCTTCTTGCATCAAGGAAAAGTATATGGAAATGTGGATAGAAAAACATGTAAAACATAGTGGAGATTCACACTCTATCCAAAAGCATATGTAAGAACTTGCAACTTCAAATTTGAATTAGAAAAGGACATGTTCTACATTCAGATTCCATCATATTCTTTCGTAGAAGTTCAGAAAAAGAACCTATTTCTGTTAAGTAATTACATTGAAGAATATCAACTAAATTTCTGTGTTTATGCCTTATCAATAACTTATTATTCGCAATAGTATAGACAGTTCAAGTTAGACCCAACTTCAATGTAAAATATTTCCAGTCCCGTAACTTCAACAGTTTATTAATTGGATTATTTACGCAGAAAAGGAAAAAGAATCCACATTCTAAGCTCAACACTAAAACGTTCCAAACGCCTAAACAACATACGAAAAGCAAGAAGCTTAGCTGAGAAAGCATGAAATTGTGTACTTTGTGGACAGGAAAATGAATAAAGCAATGTAACATTATGAAGCAAAGTTAGAGAAAGTAAGAGTTTCATGTGGTTTCTGGATCCTCACGACGGAACTAGTACTCACAGTAAGCTCAAATCAAAATCATAAAGGTCGAATTTAGGAGAAGTTGCTGAAACTAGACTACTAGGAAAAGAATCAAACGTAGGGGAAAAGAATCAAACACAAAATAAGAGGTTGAAAAAAGCAATAAATAGGAATCAAATGCAACATCGGTGTCCATTCAAGAGGTTTTCGTTAACAGAAACAAAAGCACAGAATATAGAAACCAAGTAACATTACTTGGAAAATAAAAGAAAGGGAGTGGAGGAGAAATCTTACCAGGAAAAATTCTCAACAAAGGAAACTGGACAGAAGTGAGGTCACGGGGAGAAAAAGAGAAGAAAAGATATTTTAGCCCAAACGCCCAGGAATAAATAAAAACCTATGTAGTATGTGGGAATAACATTCTCAATAAAAAAAAGTAAAAAACGTTACTGTTGGCAATAGGATAATACCCTCAAATAGGAATATTTCTCATCCAAATGTGGGTATGACAATCTGAAAAAAAAAAAATCTACCAGAAAACAAGAATTCCATAATCCAAATGCCCATAGAGTTTATGATATCCACGTTGCATTCTAATGGACTATCCATAAGGCACTAATCCCTATAACGTCTCAATTAGTCCTTTTTTCAATCTTCTTTCTCTTTTGGTCTAATCAGTTTTTTTAATCCTTATACTATACTGAAATTTACAATTTAACTATTTATTTTAATTTAACTTTGATTAGTAATTTCAAATTTGATAACATCCCTAATTGTTGACGTTGAAGTGATGATGTAAAGTTTTATATTGTTATCCAATCATATGACTAACATGATGACACATAAAATCTAATCAGTCATATTCAATCAATAAAAATTTTGTATGTCAATTGAGTTTCCTTTTTCCAAATAACTATTTATGATATTGTCAATTTAGACTGATCAATAACATTATATAGAAAATCAAGTTTTACCAAATTAAACTAAAGTGATTAATCCTTATATTTCAATATAGTTAAATAATCATTACATTTATCGGACTATTACAAAATGATCATTGTAAAGTTATAGCAATTGTAAAAGTTAGATAAATTTAATGATCATTTTGTAATTTTTAAAATTTAATAGTCAAAACAATTATTTGACCATAGTTCAATGGCCTCTAATATATTTTACCTCAATTTCCAAGAGTGTAAAAATCTAACTTGTTCTCAAACTTCCCTCAACCCCGAGCTTTCATATATAAAAACAAGCTCACTGAGCCTCCCAGGCTCCCACCCTTTTCCACCTCCATTTGTTGAGCTAATCCCAACTTGGCCAATCTTCTCCATTGAAGCAAAAATGGCATACGATGACCCCAAAACCCCATTTTTACCCATCAGTGACCCAATCCATCAATCACCAACAGCGCCACCCCTTTCCCTCAAATCCTTTCTCACACCCCACACTTTCTATTTGCTTTTGGGTCCCCTTTTGAGTGCTGTCATCTGCCTGTGCGTCACCCTCGATGGCCCCGTGAGTAGCCGGAACATGTTGGCGGTCACGGCGTGGGTGTTCTCATGGTGGCTAACCGAGGCCGTGCCGATGCCCATCACCTCCATAGCACCTCTCTTTTTGTTCCTCTCTTCAGTATTGCTTCGGCCGATAGAGTTGCGCGGTCTTATATGGACGATGTCATCACTTTGCTACTCGGGAGCTTCATGCTTGTTCTTGCTGTTGAACGCTAGAACGGTTCATAGAAGGTTGGCCTTGAATGTAAGTTACTCTTTCGATATCCATCACTGAACTATATGCATATATGCGTGTATGCATTACAGATCAAAATATAAGGATTAAATTCTAATTTCAAGAGTAGTACGAGAACCAAAATTAAAATTTGACCAAAAAGTTTCAGATTCCGATACCAATAGTAATGTCATCCTTTTAACTAAATTAACCATGTTTGGTGGCATTTGCAGATAACTTTGCGGTTCTGTGGGGAGCCAGTGAACCCACCACTCATCTTGCTCGGCATCTGTGCCACCACGGCCTTTGTCAGCATGTGGATGCACAACGTGGCGTGCGTGGTCATGATGATGCCCGTGGCCACCAGGATCCTACAGCGCCTTCCCGCCACCCGCTCCACCCCTGACCTTGCCGCCGGCAAATTCTGTAAGGCCATGGTTCTCGGCGTCACGCATGCCGCCCCATAGGAGGAATGGGCACCCTCACGGGTACAGGTGTTAACCTGATACTGGTGGCCAACTGGCCATATGGAAGAGTGAGTTCCCAGAAGTTCAGTCTATCGATTTCAACTTTCAATACGTGGTTCCTTTTCGGTTTCCCCTTGGCTCTGTTGTTTTTCTTTGCCTTGTGGGCCATTCTTTGTTTGTTGTATTTGTCTAAGGGGTCCACCATGGCACTTGTTGGCTCAGTTTCAAATCGCGGTCGCGTTTTCGATTATTTCGGGTTTATCATGATTGCGATTCTCGCGGGCGTTATTGCGGCAGTCGCATGTGCTATTACGGGTGTAACAGGTAACTCGAACGACGAAACCGCTATATTACGGACGAAATCGCGGTAGGAACGTTTTTTGAAACCATGGCTGGCTGCATGGACAAATCCCACCTCAACACAGAATTGGAGATGTTGGGTAAGCTCACCTGCTTTCCTTTTTAGCAATTCCCCTGTTTAATATTGCATCAGGCGTCCCTAAAAATAACATAAATTACTGTTGGGACCGATTTAGAATTTCAACGGTAGTTTGAGGATATCTGTTGGGAATTAACCCATACACCTTTTTCATGCTGATCTTGATCAAGTTTTGTATTTGGTGTGAATACTGAACAGGTCCAATGGCATTTGCTGAGAAGATGGTTTTATCTGTCTTTGGGGTTGGTCCTTGAAAACTTCTATTTTTTTCTATCTAATCATTGATGATGGTCTTTAAAACCATTATTAACTAAAGGTAAAATGCAGTTGATGATAGCTTTGTGGATGACCAGAAGCATAACAGCCGACATTCCAGGATGGGGAGCTCTCTTCCATGGCCGTGCAGGCGATGGAACTGTCAGTGTGAGTAATAAAAAAACTTTAGAAATCAAATTTCATCCAATAATCGTTCTTCTGGTTCGAGGCCTACGATGTTTGGAAGTCGATTATATTCAAATTCGAGTTAGATTAACCCCTAAACAAGGGTAAAGCTCTTCCAATGAAATTCAAACCATGCATGCAGGTAATGGTGGCTACCCTTTTGATCATAATCCCAAACGCGAAGCAAAAAGGAGAGGAACTGATGGACTGGAACGAATGCAAGAAGCTACCATGGAACATAATATTGTTACTAGGTGCCGGTTTTGCTCTAGCCGACGGCGTGCAATCTAGCGGACTCGCCGACTATGTTATTTGAAACCCTGTATTTCCTTGAACGCGTCCCGTATCTCATTATCGCACCCGCGGTGTGTCTGATATGTGCGGTGATTACCGAGTTCATAACGTCGAATGATGCGGCGGCGACTCTTATGGTTCCGTTGTTGGGTCAAATGGCACGGACCATGAACGTGCACCCCTGATGCTTATGGTTCCGTGTGCTATTGGGTCCGTGTGATATTGGGTCACAATTGGCCTTTATGCTTCCGACTGGGACACCGACTATGTTATTTGAAACCTGTATTTCCTTGAACGCGTCCCGTATCTCATTATCGCACCCGCGGTGTGTCTGATATGTGCGGTGATTACCGAGTTCATAACGGAGATGATGCGGCGGCGACTCTTATGGGTTCCGTTGTTGGGTCAAATGGCACGGACCATGAACGTGCACCCCTGATGCTTATGGTTCCGTGTGCTATTGGGTCCGTGTGATATTGGGTCACAATTGGCCTTTATGCTTCCGACTGGGACACCTCCAAATATAGTTGGATTCAACACCGGGCATATTGATATCTTTGACATGATGGAGATCGGGTTGTTGCTTAAGATTGCAGGGACTGCAATTTTATCCTTGCTAATGCCTACTCTAGGTACACTAGTATATTTTTCCTTGCCATGGATGTAAGGTTGATTATGGATGGGGGAATTATGGTTTTGGTCCCTATATTTTATTCAAATTTGAAATTCAGTTCCTATACTTTATTTTGACGTTGTTTGATTAGCTGCACATATTCCTGATTTTTTTTTAATTGGCAGGTGCTTATGTTTTTGGGACAATAGGAGGAATTGATTAGCTGCAAATGCTAGACCATGTGGGATATACGGTGTTGTTTGCTTAATTATATATATATATATATATATATATATATATATATGCCGTATTATTAACTTAGCCTTCGAAGTATATTTGATTTTTCATGTTGCATTGCGCCTTCATTTTTTTTTTCAATTTACCTCATATTTCCCCCCTTAATTTATCCCTTAAACTATCATTTTGTTTTTTTTACCCTAATAATGTGTCATGTTCTTATTAGTGTCTAATACATCCTGAATTCGAGTTGTTGAGTTTATATGATGTATGTTTTGTTAATAGGTTAAGAAATTTTTGAACATATACTATCTTTTAATTACCTTATACTATTAAAAATATAGTTTATAAAATAAACAAAGAAAATTAATTGGTAAATTATACCAAAAGTCATTTAATTATATTCAAATGATTATTTTAGTCATTAAACTTTTAAGAATTATAAATGATAAGTAGTCTTGTAATTTAATTATCGGATAGTTTACTCATAAAATGAAAATGGAAATGAAGTAAGCAAATCCTATGGGGATAGAATACCTTTCCAGCCCAAAGCCTGCCATATTAGGCTAATTTTGTACCAAATTCGGTTTAGATTATAATTTTATTAATGATGAACGGTTAGTTTAATAGTATTTGTTCAAAATTTGGCAATATATACAGTAATATAATGCATGTATGGCAGGTTATCCTCCTTATATTCTTGTTAATGTAATTTTTTATTATAAAAACCCAACACCCAAAGAAGATAACTTGAAAAAAGAAATTGATTATTAATATTGTTTTCTTTAAAAAAAGAAAGAAAGAAAATTGACGCCATGCAACAATTTTATCGTTTCCTTCTCTTGTTATCTCTTCTTTTTCATTCTCTGATTATCTCTGACGCCGTGAGAGTTTCGGACGTCGGAGGATGGACACCCATAAAGAATCTCAATGACCCGCATGTGACCAAAATCGCAGAATTCGCCGTCAATGAGTACAACAAGCAGTCCAAGGCAAGCTTAAAGTTGGTGGCGGTGGTGAGCGGTGATTCCCAACTGGCTTCGGGAATGACTTACCGGCTACTTTTGAAGGCAAACGATGGAACCATGACCAATGAATATCGAGCCGTCGTGTGGGAGCAAGTACAACAGGATTTCAAGAAGCTTATCGTCTTTATACCTATTTAGAGTTAATTTAATTAATAAACACAAAGGATTAAGTTTGCGTATCTCTCTTGATATTGTAATTTTGGGAATAAAATTTTATGTTTATTTGGGATACTACTGATATGAAGTTAATTTGATAAAATTAATGTGTTTGTCATACATTTAACATAATAGATATAATAATTAGTTATTTAAAAATAATTATTTTATAATATATTATAAATTTAAGTTTTAAACAAAATTTAGTTTAATTTTAAATACATTTAGAAAAGTAATTCTATTTTAATATTAATTTTAATCATAATTTAAATTACATAATAGTTTTGTAAAAAAACTATATTTAATTCAATGATCAGATATTTGATGTTTGTTTTTGTAAGGATCCTGACACGAGCTACCTAAACCTTAACTATATTTTAATGTAACTTTACAGTGATAATATAACGTAACTTAAATATAATTTTCTTCTTCTTTTCTCTATATATAAATTTCCAGTTTTCCAGAATTTTTGCAGTTTTCCAGAATTTATGTGCTTTATCAGTACTTTTTATTATTAGCATGTGTTTGTTTGATTTTAATTCATAAAATCATTTTTTATCTGAATTTGATAAATTCAATGATCAGATTGATAATTTTAGTATAGTTAAGTGATATTTGTTGTAGTTTACCCTAATAAATTTGAAAGATGACAGGCCCAAAAATGAGCCCAGTAAACTATAGGGGGAAGGATATAGGTACCTGTACACCGGTAAGCAGAGTAAATGCAAAAATCTGTCTGGCTCTGGTCTCCGACAGTCCGGCTCGCTACTCAGCCAGGGCCTGAAGCCTGAGCTTCCTCCTCCCTTCGCCTCCTCGCAATTGCCTTAAACCCTCATTGTCTGTTTATTCATTCATTCACACAAGCATTCGTTACATTCCTTTGATTTTGTTGTTCTATCTGACCATTTGCCGTCACCAAGGCTGTTTTGCTTTCAGCTTCGCAATTCTTCATACAGTTGGTTAGTGCAATGAAAACGCAATCTATTTCTTTAATATTGTTCATTTATTATTTTGGTTTATATTATAATTTGGTGCGTTTGTAATGGCAGTGATTTGTTGCTCTCATTACTAGTTAGTAGTTGGTGTTTAATTTCACTTGTTTCTGGATCATTTGTAAATGTCAATTCTCAGTCAATTTCTGTTTTGTTGTTTCAATTATTTGTCTGTTTTTGCTGATATTTGTTTCGTTAATAGCTTAGAGTTTTAGTGATTCAGTGTATGATTTTTATTATATTGTCGTTTCAACCATCTAATGCGTTAAGTTTTGTTTTAAACTGTCAATAAGTTTTAAATTTTGATAAAAAAAGTTGATTTCGGATGTTGTAACCTTTGGCCATATGAGATTTGGTTGGCGCTATTAGGTAAACTCGCCTAGCTCAACTGCAAATTATAAATTTTGATAGTAGTTTGCTTGGTGAGTTTAGGGTCTAATGGCATCACTTTGATGGAAAACTGAGTCTAGATATGTCATAATTTGATCTCGTTTGTTCATTATTCACCGGGCAAGTACTCTATGATCAAGAACATATCTTAATTCCCTAGTCTTTGGTCGATGCGGTCAGAATTTATTACTTTTTCCCAATCTTTTTTTCAGTGAAGGGTTTATGAGCTGCCTACTTGGTGATAAAGTTTTGGGATCTGCAATCTTAACTCTTTTGATTAACTTTCCTGTGAAGAAATAAATAACTTTTAAAGACTGGCTTTTCAGTGTCTCTAATAATTAGGACAAGGAATAAGACAAATAACCTTATTGATGGAGCCCCACATTTAAAACTGAAAGTACAAGGCTTCTTTTGTAAATAAAGTTTATATTGTTTCTTGTTTCTGAATCGCGTCCTATTGAGCTATAATATCTATCTTGTACAGTGCAATGCATATTCTTTTTGCAATAGTATCAAGCATCTTATGTTACAGATGTCGGTGATAATGCATGGTTGGTTTCTTGCATAGTTGTAAAAAGCGCGCCTGAGGTGCAAAAGCGCAGAGGCTCACTGGACGGGGCTTTTTTAACACTGAAGCGAGACACGTAGCCTAGGCGTACCGAGGCGCAGCGAGGCGCAGCGAGGCTCTGAGGCGCGAGGCTCAGTCGAGGCGCAATTGAGGCGCGATGTGGGCTTAAAACCTTGTAATTATTACTGCAGGGCCTTCTCTTCTATGCATACATGGTCTGAAAAAATGAACGACCATTTTCGTTATGTTATTTCAAACAAATAAGCTTTGTAATCGTTTTTGGTCCTTTCTTCACCTAAGTTTATTTATCTATCAGTATTTGATATTTTCTTTTCCGCTCATCAAAATTTGTGACAGTTTAAAAATTAAGCAAACCTATAATAGGAATACATTGCGATTAACAAAAGAAGAAACTGACTTGCGCAAATTCAACTCAATAATTTAGTCTATGTGAAATATACTCGAGCGTTAAAGCGACGTTATAATCATCGTGATGTCATTGATCCAATATCTTTGGATGACATTGATGAAAGTAACGAATGGTTGCTTGGTAGAATGGATGAGGATGAAGAAGAAAATGAAGATTATGTGTTTGATGATGACGATTTGACATGGAAGGATGTTGGTATAGCTTCCGGAGCTTATGAGCGTGACCATAATACTAGAAGAAAGAACATTGCTAGTTCAAGCTCGAAAGAAAAGGAAAAAGCTAGACCACACCTTGTAGATGAAGATGATGAAGATGATGAAGTTGTTATGCTAGAGGAGAGTGACACTGAAGAAGAAGACATTGGGGATTGAGAGACGGATGAGGAGGAAGATGATGACATACCACTTGACGATGATGATGAGAATTAGTTTGATGTTTGATGATGATTATCAGTGACTTTATTTGATGTTTTGTTTTTGCATGTTGAATGTTTTTGTTAAACTTAGTACTTGATTATGCTTGTTAGTAACTTTTATGACATTAGGTTGGTATTTTGAATTTGAGAATAAACTCAATTGAAGCCTAATATTGGGTATCTATGATATTTGAGTTTGATTGCATTAATATATACATGTGTTACAATTTTTTGGATATCATGCGCCTCGCCTTCGTGAATCCTGCGCCTTTCATGCGCCTCGCGCCTCAAGGCTCCAGGACACTTTGCGCCTCGATGCGTCTTAAGCCTTTGATAACTTTGGTTTCTTGAAGGTCTTCGTAGCTATCGAAATTTTGTTCAAAGAATATCAATAAATTGTATCTTTCCAATTCCGGCCTCTAGTTTTTGTTATTTAATGTCACTTTCGTCATTAATGTTTAAAGTTTATACAAAATCCAAAATCATGTTTTACTGGTTAAGTGGCAAAGTGGAAGCATATGAGTCTTAGGAGCATTACTATTTGGGATGTATATGTGATATGTTTTTAGTTCCAGTCTATTAGTCACATTTTGTATTAGCGCTTGTCTGAGACTTGTAATGTGGAATTTATTAGGTTCTTTGCAGTATCCTCTAAAGTAACGACTTGCTGCTAAAGCTTAAGTGGGATTGCATGTGCCCTGCAAGGTGGAAGCAAGTTCTATGGAGGGATCAAGGCAGTTTCCTTGCCTTTGTGGGATTACATGTGTAAGAACTTAATTAGTAGTGTTGACACCATTTTTCGTCCGATATAAATATTATATTTAATTATTATTATTATTATTACTTTATTTTTATTAATATATTTTTATTTACAGATCCAACCAGCCCAACATATAAAATCAAATTACAAATCAGGCCCAAAACCAATTAAACCCATTTACCCAAGCCCAAATACAAACCCTAAGCCTAGCCTAACCTAACTCTAATCTAGCTCCACACCGTCGCCCCCGCCACCACCGGAACTCCGTGTCGCTGTTGCCATCAAGTTGGATCCGAGACCCCCTGTTAAAAAATCACCAAATAATAATAATAAATAATAAAATCAATCCCAAAAAATTAGGGGGCCATACCCGAAAAATCCAAGAACCATCCTCAATCCCACTAACCCTCTGCCATTCCCACCAAACACGAAAGCAAAGCAAATTAAAAAATGAGATTCGAACGGAGATAAAAAGAGGAGAGAAAAATAAGATAAAGGGGAGAGATACGAAAGGAAAAAATCAACTAATAAAAAAGGGAGGAGTTGGAACCAAAAAGAGAGAGAGAAAAAAATAAGAGAGAGATTAGAACAAAAAAACGAAAAAAAAGGGAAAGCAACCATAAAATCGAAAAAATAAAGAAAAAGGGAGAAATGATCACCTTTGAAGTGACGAGCATTGCCGGAGGGAAGAAGGGCCGTCGTAATTGGGGTAATCGAAGAGATTTGCATAGATCCATGACACTAGAAGCATTTTTAGGCCAATCGAAACCCAGATTTGTACTCAGGACACATAGAGGCTTTGGAATGTGGTATACCTACTTTTCTTCGTCGTCAGCAGACGGTGGCTGGCGATAGCAGCCACGGTGGTAGAGTATCTCGCCGGGCTTGAAAAAGTAAACAAAAAAGAAAGAAAGTTTGTTTAAAAAAAAGGAGAAAAGAAAATGAAATGAAAATAAATGAAAAGGGCGAATTTCCCAAAAAATCACCCTTAAAATCTTTAATTCCCTGTCAGACACCATTTAGACTTTATTTTTCGATCTAACACCCTTTGCAGGAAGACGCGCTCTTTGAAGCGCGCCTTACGCTGATCTGGCGCCACGTGGGGTAAAGCGCACCCCCTGAAGTGCGCCTTACGCTGAGATGGATACACGTTGGCAAAGGCACGGCGCCCCTGGGGCGCGCCTTATGCCACGTAGGGCTATAGCACATTGCAGGGGACGCGCCTTCCAATTATCACATGCATAATGCAAGGCGCGGTGCAGGGGCCGCGCCTTGTAGAATTTCATCCGAACTTCTAGGCTTTAAAGCATCGTCTCTCCGTTATAAATACCTCTCCCCCGTAAACTCTCTCACAACTCCCTCTCAACCGAGAAACTACTACAATAATCCTCTCAACCAGTAAAAAACACCCGACAATCCTTTTATAT